ACACACACACACACACACACACACACACACACACACAGGGAGGGAGAGAGACAGATAAACCAGAACATCTGGGTCACAATATATCTTCTGTGACCCCCAAAGTTAACACTGCTTCTAGCCTGGTTCCTACATTTTCCTGGATGCCCACCTCTGCATTTTGGGCACCTAGTCTGGTCCCAATCCTGACCATTAGTGAACATGTAATTGCATATTGAGCCTTCCCTTGGAGCTAGCTCAGACTGATGAAGTCCAGACTGTGTAGTTTTCAGGTGTCAGCTAAGCTGGAAGAGAGAGAAGCAGAGATGGACCATGTAGGTACCAAGCCCTGAGTCTAGCTTGGAAACTGTGCCTTGAAAGGCCCCCTCAGCAGCTAGACAGGAGTCCAAGGCCCAAATGAGGTGGTACCATTCTTGCAAAAATACCCTACTACTGAGGCAAGCTTTAGTTTTTTTCCAGTGGCAATGGTAGCTTTGTCTTTCTCTCCCCGAGTCCTTCCTGGAACAAGAGATCTTCATTAATGGGACAGTAGAGTCAAACTCCAATCCAGTATGATAAGAGAAAGACACTAGGGTTAATTTAATGCCTGACCTTGGTCTAAATAACAAAAGGACTTCCAGAGTGGACATGAGTGGGCACAGTTGACCTCATCTGTCCTGTGGGTACAGTTTTCACAAGAATATCTATGTTCTCAATTCTTGACAACAAAATGCCACTGCCCCAATAGATGCTCCCTCTTGCCAGGGTCCTTCTCTTCCTGCCAGTAGCCTCCTCTCTATGCTCTCTGGGAGTGAAGACTAGCTGAAGCTGTTTCCAGAAGTCATTGCTCGGCAGGCCTGTGTTCTCTGACCATGCTCTGCCATAGGACTGATGCATGCTCTGGCACGTCTCTGCTGCTCGCTGTGACCTCATTTGATAAGCAAACAAGAAATACACACACACACACACACACACACACACACACACACACACACACGCACAGCACAGCACAGCACATACACCACCCACAGAACATTCAGATTCTTACCTTAGTCAAAAGAGACTATGAGGCCAACCGAGCAGCCAACTCACAATACAGAGGTTAGGGCTGGAAGAGTTAAGTGTTCTGAGCCTCCTCTAGTTCCCTCAACATGTCTGTGTAGACTGTGTTCATATTTCTTTGGGAGGAAGGAAAGATTTTGAGAGGCTTAGGGAAGTCACTGCTATACTTACTGGAAGCCCAGTTCTGGTGGACCTTCTCTGTTCTCTTTGTACCTTCATGAAAGAACCTTTTCGCCTCGGGTCTGTGAGGTGCTAGCAGTCAGCCATCCAGGAGCAGCTAACATCTGTGCACTGGCTTACATCTGAGCTGAGCCTTCATTTCTCCAGTTGATAAAATGAAATCTGAGCTCCTTGATTCTCCCGTTTGCTCTCCAGGGACCGGTTCAGGACCATGGTCAACGTCCTCGGTGATGCTTTTGGGACTGGCATTGTGGAAAAGCTGTCCAAGGAGGAGCTGGAGCAGATGGATGTTTCATCTGAAGTTAACATTGTGAATCCCTTTGCCTTGGAATCCACAATACTTGACAATGAAGACTCAGACACCAAGAAGTCCTACATCAATGGAGGCTTTGCAGTGGACAAGTCTGACACCATCTCATTCACCCAGACCTCCCAGTTCTAGAGCCCCTGGCTTCAGATGACTGGAGTGATGAAGGACACCTCCGTAGCAGTCATCTCTTAATGAAGCCAAACATTTAGGAAAATAAAAACAATGGTCAGTTGTACATTTAGTTTGATATACAGACCTCCAGATTATTTTCTATATTTGGCTTGATAAGCCTTTGCTGTCTGAGTTTTGCTGTCTGGAGTAAGATGGGGTAAATAAGGTTTAAAAGGAAATTGTATGATCTGGCTCTTAAAAATTCTGTCAGACAAAGTATGGAAGTACATATAATGTTGGAATTAGGAAATAGTGGAGGAGAAATTGTTTTCTCATATACAGACCAGTGTCTTGGATTTTAGAGAAGAAATTCTCTCATTGGCAACAAATTTTTACTCAGGCTTTATATTGGAGTGGATTTCCTTTGACTTCTTACCTTTTATAGATAATAATGCATCTAAACAACCCCATCCAGTTAATGTGCCAAACTCTCCATTTTGAACTCATCTCGAGCCAATTTCAAAGAATCTATTTTAAAAAAACCAGCACAGTTCTGAAACAACAGTTTTTAGGATGAACATAGGCTTCAGGGGTAAGGGAGGAGGATTCTTTTTTAAATGTACTGTATTGGGACACTGGTTACTGTTAATCCAGTGTTCAGTATAGAACTATATATATGTGTGTATATATATATTTATTATTTTCATATAATTTGCAAGACAGAGATCAGAATTGAACTGTCAATGTGAAAAACAACCTCTCCTTGTACTTGAATAACTACAGTTCCAACCCAAGTCTGCTTCACGGCTTATCAGGTCTCCTTTCTCAGGAGCACTAGAATGAGAAATCATATTGTCAGGCTGTCTGTGTATCTTCCCTAAAGCAAGGATGCACTTTGGTGACACTCCAGGATGGCAGAGCTGCTCCATTAAAATATCCAGATTCAAGCTGCCTGGAAGAAACCCATACCAATTCTACACACAATTATATACAAAGATATTACTTCAAGAAGGTTGGCTGTTCTTCTGTCCCACTGGAAGGCTTCATTCTTCCAAGTTCACCCACATCCACTTTTAAAGAGGCCAATACTTTGCTGCCTTTGCACTTTTGTATCTATCGGGGCCCAAATACACTGGCAAGCTACCAGATGGCTTGTATTTTAAAGTAGAGTCTATTGGCTAAATACACCACCATGCACATAAGCTGTTCCTACCCTGTATTTGTGTAGAGTTGATCCCATGACATGAGACATCGGTATCAGTGGTGCAGGGCAAATTCTTCCATCCTATGACACTGGTCCTGCCTCCTCCAAAAAGGATTGTTCTAACTCCTACTCTTGGCCCTGCTCCTTCAAATTCTTTGCTAGTCATTCTCTGCTTTAATGAATATAGATTATTAAAGCTTGTGCTTCAATTCTCATCTTGTAAATAATGCTTAACATAAACTTGTACTTACACTTAAATCCCAAATAGTCATTTCTGTAGCAATATGTACCCACCTTAAACCCGTACCTTCATATTGAAAAGAAACCAGAAATTGTGCCAAAGATAGCCGAAAAGAAAATAAATGCTTAGTATTGATGACCTGGGCCTGAAATCTCTAAGGAAAGATACTGAATTGATATGTAAACTTCATAGTGGCCATTGATTCTATGTGAATTTAAAATGAAAGTATTAGAATTATTTATAGGAAATATAAATATGATTAAAGTTGAATCAATGATTTATTTTGGGCTAAACTGTTCTATACCCTATTACATGGCTCTAACCCATGGCACTAGAGTCGGAAGATCTCTTCATGAACTGCAGATCATCCTTACTTTGGAATTTGTAGCCAACTTTTTAACACACTGTGCTGTTAAAAAGAACGTTCATTTCAGTGTCAATAAACATGTCCCTCATTCTTCCTTTTCTGCTTCTTATCTGTTCTTTTATGCTATTTACATGGCGAGTATAGGAAAGTTGAGATATGGATCAGTTGAATGAGACGATACAGGGATGATTATTTTTAAAACATTTTTGTTACCCCAAGAATGAAAAAGCAGGGCTAAAGGAAAATAATTCTTCACAATAACCAGTGAGTATTTCAAGCCTGAAATACAGTGCCATTGTGAAAGTTGTGATCCTATATTGTGACTGAGATGAAAGCAGAATTTTGTCAGACATTACTGCTTTAGAATATAAGCTTATCTATAGACTGGAAACCTAATTTAATTGAAGAACAAAGCCCTGCCTGCAAAACATGCCTACAAACTAGAAATGGCTAGATTCATAGTGCCCTTTAAAGAACTGGCTCTGTCCCACTTGGATAACTGAGCCATGGCTACTTCCTACAGGATATGGTGGACTCACCTATGTGATTGACAGCAAAGAAACAACCCCCTGGGAGAGAACATATAAAAATGCTTTCTTTTGATAACATAGTGGGGACTTGGGGTGGGGGTGACCCAAAACACAACTCTCCAGGAAGAGATTAGATTGGGATGGTTGGTGTATCTGACCAGAAGACCCCACGTGTGATTTATTCCGTGCAAATTACACAGAGGATGTTGCCATTGGCTCTGGCAAATGGCTTTAGTTTTTCAACAAATTTTTATGAGCCTACTGGGTAGACTCTTATTTTAAACATACTTTGTTCTTAGAGTAGCTATTGGAAATGTGTTTGGCTTATCATGAGGCAGTGGGCTAGAAGGAGTGTTGGCTTTGCAGGTGTTTGAAAAACTTACCTCCTGAAGCAGCAGCAGATCAATGGTTCTGTTCAGATCAATGGTTCAGGATGCTAGAAGATTCTATGAAACAGTATTCATAGTTTGTTTTCTTTAACTGCCCACTGAGAGATCATAGGGCACAATGAGTGAACACAAATTCTGATTTCATTTTTGTGACCTTGCCAATAATCTAGCCTTGACTTCCTCTTCCATGAAGCAAGGATGACAGTCCTTGCCTTGTGAGATTGCTCTAAGTAAGAAAATGTCTGTGATGCCTCTGTCAAAGATTGTGTCACATAATATGCTCAATAAATGCTAGAGCTTCCCCTCTACCCCAGCCCCTGGGTAGGGAGGGAGGAACTATACCCTTTGCCTCCTCTCCCATTTACATGGGTAATCCACAGATACATGCTATAATTACACAAGTGTCCCCAAAGACTGTTAAGGGCTTGGCTGTTCACGGAAGTTAGGTCATTGGGACGTGGCCCTTCATGAGATACTGGTACCCTATACTCTTTCCTCCCCTTCACCCGCTTTCTCTCAGTCTCTCTCCCCTTTCTCCTTCCCGATCACCATGAGTTCAGTAGCCTTCTGGGTAACATGCTCCCACCACGGTGTACTGCTCTGCCTGTCACAACCCTAAAGCATCAGTACCAGTGGGCCAGGAACTAAACCCTATAAAACTAAGCTGAAATAAACCTTTCCTCCATATAATTTGTTTAATTCAAGTATTTTTCCCCCCATAGGGACAGATACTGACTAATGCAGGGTGTAGCTGTAACTGTTCTTTCAGCATCTCAGGACCTATATCACTGGTACAGACAGGAAATGTTGTCCCCTCCATGTTCAAGTCTTTTTTTTTTTTTAATACCAGGAATCAAATCCAGGGCCTTGCACTTGCCGGGCAGGTGCTGTGCCACTGAGCTACATCCCTGGGGCATTACCTCCACCACTTGATGCTAACTAGATTATTACAATGAACAGTGTATCCAACCTAAGTAGACTTCACAGACCACCCCATTCTATAAATGCGAAACTTTCTGGAAATGGAACATCTAAATCTCAAAAGTATTTGCTCCTGGAAAGTACCACATGAGAACTAAGCAAAAATAAGTGTCCGTAAATTTTGTTCCTATCATGAGACACAGAAGGACTTGGAGCTGCCCGGGAAGCCTGTGTAAGGGTGAGGTGCTTGTTCCATGGCGCTCTTGCATTATGTACCAAAAACAAGCACACACACGAGGCTCGCTTCTGCAATCTTGGCCTAGCAATCTCAGTGATTCCACAAAACCTGTCCTCCCCACTTGACAAATGGACTTTATTCTACTCCCCACATAGGGCCTTTTAGTGTACGCTGTGGTAAGAAATGGGCCTTTCTCCTTTGAAATCTCAAGTCTTTATAAGTAAAAGCCACATAATATACACAAGAAGTAGACTTTGTTAAATTATCCTGGGAGCCGTATAATAATGACTACATACAGAACAGGATAACTACACCTAAGTGTCTGAAGTTATTGACTATGGGTAGATAGTGCCAGGGACATTCCTAGTAGCCTAGGCTATGTGAGCCTACAAAACCCTGGATAAGTGGGTAGTGAGCTCTAACCAGACACTGATATCTCATTCTCCCCTTACCAGGACAAACCAGCTCCACGTACAATTTGGACAGTGTATCTTCAGAATCACTGGGATACTTCCAAATGCAAATCTCCACCTGGCCTGCCACATTGATGACATCACACAATTCAGAACAGTTATGAATAAACCCAAGAAAAACATAAACATCCATATTCCTTGTGTTATGCTAGTGAGGGAAAGTAGAAAAGGAAACTTGTGACTCTTCTAGAAAGCTGCCAGCCCACAGCAGAGAGCTCCTCACCCACATGAGCAGCACAGGGGCGTGACATAGATGTGACAGCACAGGTCACCACACAGGTAGGAAGCAGAAAGCCCCAAAACTAAAATACAGAATTAGCCCCTAAGCTGTCTGAATGTCAACCTTCATTTTCTCTCCAGGAAACTGCCTGCTTGTAGCAGATGGGAGTCTCGCTGTGGAAGCTGCCATTCCTCTATGATTCAGGGAGCCATTCCCGGTCTGGGGTAGCATTTTCTGCTTTCGCTTTAGGGTGTCCAAGGAAATGCAAAGCAAGCCTGTGTCATCTGAGTGGTTCAGGGTCAGGGGTCTGACTGCCAGGGCCTGGGAGCCCTTGAGAGCTGATGCTAGCCAGGAGTTGCTGTTTCACATTCAGCCTGGAAAGTTCCATTTTCCAAGGTGCAGAGAGGATGGCTTGAAATTAATCGAGGTGTCTAAGGACAGCTATCCCTGGAATAAAGGCACTGCTTTGTCCACTTTCTGGACACATCATCAAAGAGTAAAAGCACACCATTTTAAAAAGCGACTAATCTTCCATTAGACATTCTGACACAGCTTTGACTTAGAGTCTTATATTGTATTTCCAAGGTCATTAGCAAGAATAAAAAACCAGCAGAAAAAAATTATATGAGTTGACTGGAGTGAGGGAAAGGGTTCTAAAAAAAATCTGAATTTGAGGGTAACAGAATTTCACATCTTTAGGTAAGTGGGTGGAAGTGTTACTATGTAAACGCTAATTACAAACAAAAGCAATCCAGTTATCAGCAGAGGGGCTCTGGCTAACCCTTTCCAAACACATATTTTGTCTTCCCAGAACTGGCTTCTCCAGTTGGCTTTACATCCCATGACTTCCCAGTAAATCCCACATAGCCAGGACTGTCTGCAAGAACCATTCAGCTCTTCTGGCTCTAAGGACAGTTTACTCCTAGACCATTCCAGACAGACAACCACTTACTCTGTTCTTATATATCTTTCGAGACACTGACCTAACTCCTAACAGCTGCAGGCATTAGATGTGGAGATGTCTCCTTGCCAGGATGAGTGTAGGAGAGCCTTGGGTGCCCTGGTTTTAGAAAGAGAAGAAACAGAGGAAAATCATGTTTACGCATTTGGCGGATGTCGGCATTTCAGTTACTAGGTGGCAAGCGCTGTTCTCTCCACTTCCATGTTAACTCATTTAATATAACAGCAGCAATGAAATGAGCACTACTATTACCTCTTTAATCTCTCATTTCTTTATATTTTTGGTACAGGATCTCACTATGCAGCTCCAACTTGTAGTAATCCTGTCTCAGCCCTCCCAGCACTGGGATTACAGATGTACCCCATCATGCCTGGTTTCAGTGGCCAGCACAGCATGTGGTACTGGGAATCAAACCCAGGTCCTTGTGTTTGCCAGGCAGGTCCTTAGACTGCTGAGCTATCTCCCCAGTCCCTATTATCCCCTTTATACTGATGAGAAAACTCCCAAAAAGTTACGCAACTTGTCTAAGATTATGCAACAAACAGGTGGCAAAGCAATCTGGCTACAGGGTCAGTGTTCTTCAACAGGTATTGTATGGCAGAGGAAGCCAGGGGTGCTGGAATATTAACTCTAACTCAAGTCTGAGGTGCCTCAACATTTTCAAAACAAGCAGCTCTGCAGAGATCGACTTTACAGCAGGGTGCCCACAGTTAACACTACTGTACTGTACACTTCAAAACTTGCTAAGAGTGGCGCTCTTAGGGGCTAAGTGTGTTGTCTCACACGTATGGGAGAAGGAAAGAAAGAAACCTGACGGTGATCGCCAGGTACATGGCCTTGATGGTAGAGATGGTTCCACAGGTGTACACAGTGCTTACCACCAAACTCATTAAGTTGTATATGTTAAATATGTACAGCTTTTGCAAGCCATACCTTAATATAACAAAATAAAGAATGCTTGTGAACACCAAGTGTGGCACTGAACTAAACATGTTACATACATAACCTACTTATGCTTTTCAACACTCGTGCCAGGCAAATACTATTAGTGTGTTTTGGAGATGGGGAAGTTGCAGCTTAGCAAGGTTATATAACTTGCCTAAGTTCACCCAGCTGGGACTTCAAAATTATTCCAAAGCCTTTTCCTATCTTTCAGTATATAAGCTCCAAAATGCCTAATGCGTGATAGTAACCCATCATTGCCTCTTTCAATGTAGTTTAGGGCCCACAGGATAGCTCAGTGGTCTAAAGCACCTGCTTAGGCAAGCTTAGGCAAAGTGCAGGGACCACAGGGTTAGATTCCTGGCACCACATTCTGCGCCAGCCCTGCCCCCAGGGTGGACTGAGCTGGCCACGAAAAGA